CAAAGCCTAAAATCCAAGAGAAGAAGCAGTAAGGAAATGTCAGGTACCAGACTCCTGGAGAGGAGAGGGTTTTGGGAGCAAGGCGCCCACCTGTGACCGAAGAGGCTCCTTACAGCACCTGCCAACCAGGCCCCTGCTGGCTCTGTGGAGCACACAGCCGTGGGCAGAAGTCTGCAGGTGTTGGCGCAGAGGAGAAAGGTCCCCAGGTCTGTGTGCTCTGAGCATACTTTCCGCTCCATCTTTCAGGGCCCTGCTCAAGTTCCCCTCCTCCCAGATGCCTTCTCTGGTCCTTCCCAACTCCCAAAAAGTCATGGCCTCCCAGGCCTCTAACACTCAAAGGTCTTTGCTGGTATTATGCTGGTAAAAAGGGATTATTACACCATGCAGTATGTGAATTGTGTACTGGTGAAGAGAGATCAGTGCTCCAACTTCAGAGATAAGTTGAGTCTCCGTCCCCCAGTCTGAGTGGAGTTATGACATAATAACTCCTTTTTGAAAAACTTCACTGGTATACAATTCACATACTACATAACATAATAATCCTCTTTTTTTTTCTTTTTCTGGTACTGGGCATTGAACCAAAGGCCTTTGCACTGAGCTACAATCCTAGATATTTTTAACAATTTTGAGACAGGGTTTCATTAAGTTGCTAAGTTGCCCAGGCTAGGCTTGAACTTGCAATCCTCCTGCAGCTCCAGAATGCTAGGATTACAGGCATGGGCCACCAGCCCGGCTATAATTCTTCTTAATGTTATGTGATCTTATAGCATCTTTCCCTCCTTCTAAGTCTGAAATTCCCTTGTGTTTTATCAGTGGTCCTGAGAAGGCTAAACAAAGGTCTGTACTCTATTTTAAATGCCTCTGTAAGTACATAGGCTCCAATTGGAGTCCTGAACCTCCTTCCCTGTACCCACTCTGCATCCGCTCCAGCCAGCTTTAACCTATTTCTGAGCTACTAGGAGGCAGGCAGCTTGGCTTTCCTCAATTTATAGATAGCACAAATGAGGCTGAGTTGCAGGGGTGCAGGGTGTCCCCCAAAGCCTTCTCCCAGGCCCCATCAGCTCACTTATGTCTGCACACCACCACTCTTCCTCCTCCCAGTCTCCATTCTTCCTCCTCTCTGCAGTTGTTGGAAACAAATGTTTAGCTCCTGCTGCAGTGTATTCCAGTGCGAAATAAACACGGATGCCCCATCCACCCTGACAGCATAATTCATTTACTGCAAAGGGATATAATAAAGTCTCTTTATTACAGCAATTAACAGAGCAGTGTTTGTCGGCATGCTTCTCAGTGGTGACCAGAAAAGTGCTTACTCTAGGTGCACAGATTTGAGAAACCATGCAACTTGAGCCAAAATGAAACCAATTAGAGGCTTAGTAAATGGGTCTCAGCCACCCCAGGAACATTAACCATCCAGGATTCAGTTCAGCAGAGGTAGAACCTCAATGCAGGGGTTAACAAGGTATAGATTGCTACTCTACTGGGTTATGATATGCACTTGTCTTTAAGTCATGGTCTTGAGGATGCACATGTAACATACTCCCCAACCCAGCCACCCCAGGTGCCAGGTTCAAATCTCACTGACCTACACAGAAGCATCTCTGTGCGGAACATTAGCACCATTGATTCTCGGGGTCCCCTGCCACTGGGAAGAAGGTGGGACATAGGAAGAGGACCAAAGGCTGGGCTGGGGAGAAGAGACAGAGAAAAAACAGCGCTAAAATATCCTTCATTAAACATTGCCTTCGAGGGCATCAAGAGCTCAAGCTCCAGACTGGGACTGCAGCTCAGTAGTAGAGCTCTTGCTACCATGTGTAAGACCCTGGGTTTGATCACAGCACCACAGGGGAATGGGGGAAGACCTCAAGCTTCTAGGGGGAACAGAGCTTTCCAGGTTGGGGGGCATCTGCTTTCCAGCCTGGAGCATTTGTACTGTCTTGCTTTGGGTAGAAAGACTGGACAATGATGTGAAGCCAACTGTCCTAGTTCTTTGGTGGACAGATAGAAGGAAGTCTTGGTTTAGATTCCCTAGCGATGTCACGTGTATCTGGCTGCTAATTAACCAAACTTAGTTCTCTATCCCTTTTCCAGAGGTGGGAGTTGGTTTATATCAACAGGACATTCCTTAAAACTAGGTCTGGCTTCCCCAGGATAGTCACCCCAAGCGTCACAGCAGGGTGAGGAAACATCCCAAGCTCATGGCAGCCCTCTTTGTGGCTTCTCTGCAGCGCTCCCAGGGCAACCATGGGAGCTTTGCACTCCCAAAAACACGGAACTGGGTGCCCGAGCTGGTAGCAAGCCAAGACTCAAAAGTGCAGAGACAAAGCCCTGTCCAACAGATCCTCGTGGTTGAGGGGTGCCTGAGAGGGTTCCCCTTTTGGGAGAAGGTACTGTGCTGAGGGATGAGGGCAGAAAGCAGCCTGGCCTCTCTGGAACAGAGAAAGTCAGAGCTTTGAGCATCATGAACAACGGGATAAAAATAGCAGTGGTGTCATGGCAACGGAGGCTGGGAGAGCCCTGAGGATCTGTCTGGGTCCTGCCATCTCCCCCTCCTGTGCCTTCCTCCTGTCCCCCGATGGAGCACAGGAATGAGCTGAGGGAAGAGGCAGGACTACCCCTGAGGAAAGGGAGATGACCCCAGAAGCCCACTAGAAAACCCTTGAATTCTAGACGCTAGGGGTTTCTGCCAGATCCCAGGCTTCCCAGATCTGGGAGCTCCTGACTTGCACAACATAAGGAGTTCCTGCAGGGATGCCCTGGGCAGCTTCTATGGCACCCTCCCGGCAGGGGTCTGACCTCCTAGGCTCCCCTCTGGTTCTGACCTGATGAGAATTTAGCAAAGGAGGCCTAGGCAGGACTGACCAGCCTCGACCCCAACACAGCAGGCGCCAACCACTCCAGAGGTGGCCCGGGGATCAGGAGGGTTCACTCGGGCAGGCCAGATGCCCTGGTCCTAAACTCTCACAACATGGACTTGGGGAGCTGTGTGGGCTGGGAAGAGGCTGGCAATGGGGAGTGTGACTCCCATAACAGTCCCAGTTCTCGGTTCTTGTGATTTCTGCCCGATCACCTGCTGGCCGCAGCAGCCACCTTCAGGATGAACATCAGACTTCGTAGAGCAGCCTGCCAGGGGCCCACTGCGCAGTCCAGATGTTCTTGGCACTGGTGAAGGCCCAGTGGCACTGGGAGCCCAGGGTCTGTCTCCAAAAGTCCGAGTCATACCAAGACACATCCAATACAATGTGTTCTTGGACTGTGTGCCTTCCTGTGACAGGGTGGGAGCCGGACCTACTGCCACCTTTTCCAGAGGAGACTGGGAGAGGAGAAGCAGTTTATTATGAACAGGAGTCAGTCTCGGAGCAGCACTGGGGACCTGGGGGCTCTCCAGGCAAAGTCGGTCATCAGCGCATCCTACCCTCAGCTCATCCCCAGCCACTGGGTCTCTCTAAGTTCAGTCTCCACAGGTGAGTTCCAGCCCGAGGCACTTCCCCCTTGCAGAGGCCAAGGGAGCATCTATCAGCTCAGATGGGCCTGTGGGCGACTATGCAAAGGCCCAGGGGCTGCATTACATAACTGCGCAGCCCCTTGAGATCCAGTCTAAATCTCTCGAGTATTTGCAGGTGGTGGAGAGAAAGAAAGGAAAAAGCAAGAGGGGGGAGAAGAAAGGGAGAAAGAGCTCAAGAGTGGCACCTATGGTGGATTAGACAGGGTCTAGAGCTGGGGTCTAGAGCTGGAATCCAGGCCGCCGGACTTGCTCCACTGGGTCTGGCTTCGGGAGTAGGGAGACATGGGCCCTGGCTGTGGGAGGAATCCTGCAGCAGCTCTGGGCGTCTTGCTTCCCTCTCACTGCCCCTCCATCTCTCAGCTTCACCATCCATGTCTATGCATTCTGCCCACAGATGTGCTGTCTGTACAAAGCACAGCCGCTGGGCACAGGACACCTGTAATCGCTCTGCTTCCCCGGCCTGAGGCCCATGGAGGCTCAACGTCCCAGACCCCCTGAGCCCCAGACGCCAACAGGGCTCAGGGGACATCAGTCCGATCCTTTACAGTTGAAGAAACAGCCCCAAAAGTAAGGCTTGAGGAGCACAGGGTCATGGGGTCTGGAGTGTACAAGCAGGGCTGCAGCCTGCGTCCCCAGCTCAGGGCTCTCTGCGCCCCACTGTCCGCCTCATGAAGATTTCAGTTAGCTTAATTATTGCTCTTTTTCTAAAAATAATGATCTCCCTATATATGTCCGTGGATCCATATGCTACATTTAGAGAGGCCATTCCCTGGGGTAAAGGAAATGACATTCTTTTTTTTTTTTGTACCAGGGATTGAACTCAGGACCTTGCACTTTCAAGGCAGGCAGCAGAACCACTGAACTAAATCCCCAGCCCTGGAAATGACATTCTAATAAAAAGCCTGCAACCCAAAACAAGAGGCCCCCTGGGGCTCGCGGGCCAGGGTCCCAGACAACACTTAGGCCACAAGGACCCCAGGCACCATGTACATTTATTTATCCTGCATTTAACAGCCCACGGCCCAAGAGGGGGAATGGGCACAGGAAGGGCCCCTGTATAGATGGGGAATGCTAGGCCTCCCACCCTTTTTCAAGGAGGACGTGCTCCCCACTCCCAGCGTAGAATCATCTCCCTGTGCACCCCACCACAGAAAAGGACCATGGAGTGGCCCTTACTTGGTCTCTTTTTTCTTTGGTACCAGGGATTGAACTCAGGTCCTTGTGCTTGCACAGCAGGCGATGAAACCACTAAGCTAAATGCCCGGTCCCAGTGTGGCCCTTACTTGGGAAGGAGGTAGAAGGAACTTGAGACAGGGCACAATTAAGCTGGGCATGGTGGCACGCACCTGTAGTCTCAGCACTCTGGAAGGCTGAGGCAGAAGGATCAAATTTGAACCCATCCTGGCAACCTATTGACTTAATAAAACCCTGTCCCAAGAAAAAGTAAAAGAAAAAGAGGTGGGGATGTATCTCAGTGTGAAGGCCCTGGATTCAATCCCCAGTACTGAAGAAAAAATAAAAGAAAGAAATAAAAATTATCCAATGGAATGTCTGGGGAAAAGTGAGGCTCAAGATCAGGCAGCCAGGTGCCCCTGGGAAGGAGCGGGAGGCAGAGAAACCTAGGCTCGAAGTCCGAGGTGGGGGCATGTGCTATGCAGACCTAGGCCCGTGTTGGCCCTGTAGGATTTCCACCTGCCCTGGGCCCACCCAAGGGCACAGAAGCGGGAACGGCTTTGAGCTGCTTCCTAAGAAGCTAAAAGGGGCAAATCCCCATCTCCCTGAGAAGGAAATGAAGGGCGAGGTGACACGGGGCATGTCTGCTAGGAGCCGCTCCGGCTCCTGCGTGGGGCACTTCAGCTGGAGCATTGGTCCCAACTTTAGCCCTGGATAAAGGGGCCACAGCCGGGGGGCCAAGGACAGTGAGGCCTGCACTCAGAGGCCTTAACCTTGGGACCCTACCCACGTTCCCATAGCAGGGACCCGAGATAGCCAATGTCCCTCCAGAGTTGAGGCACAGTCCTGGGGGACGAAGCTCTCCAAGCCGCCCCCCTGCTAAACCCTGCAGCTGCCATCCCTGCCAAGGGCTCAGGGGTGCACAGGAGGAGAGCTGTCCTTTGTCACCCTCTCCCTAGGGCTTCTGTTCTCCTCTCCTGATCTTTCCTCCGGGTGAGCCCTGCGGTTAGGACACAACATCCAACACCTCTTGAGTCCTAGGGATACAATTTCGTCCTGTGTGACAGCAGTGACATCTCGCAGGCCACCACTTGGGGACACACGCCCTGTGGGTAGGCTCCCTGGTTCTCTGTCCAGGCAGTTCCCCAAAGCTTTTCTGCCCCTTTGCCTCACCTCAGGCCTCTACTGCCTGTGAGGACAAAGAACCAGGGAGGATTTCTTCAGTCCCTTTCAACCCCACTGGCCTGGATTGGAATCTTGCTGTTTCCTTGAAGGAAGGACTTCTGTTTATAATTCTTTGGATATAAAAGGAAATAACAGATTGGAGGAGGCTGGAGCTGGGGGGAGGCAGGGGCAAAGGAGGGAGTTGGAGGATGGAAGAGAGAACTCTTTATTTATCTGTGCTTGGACCTCAGCAAGGCAACCTTGATCGCACCAGATCTGCCCAACGGACAGGAAACGCTCCTCGTGTGGGCGGAAGTTGGGCAGGTGGCACTGCCAGATTCTGAGGGGCAGCAAGGGGTCTGCCCCACCCAGCTGCCCAGAAAGCCCCAGGACAGGCAAGTAAAACCCCCTCTGTTCTGGGGCACTTGCCCCTGTACCAGGCCACCTGTGGGTCCGTCAGACAGGCAATTTTGTCCCCGGATGCTGGTAGGTAGGGGTGTCACTATGCCTGTGCCAACTGTCCCTGTGCAGAAGACAACATGCTGTGGAAGCAACAGAACCTGCCTAAAGGGCTCTGTCCAAGGGCCCCTCTGGCAGCCGGACTCCAGGCACAATGACAAGATGGGGGGATTTGCTTCCTACCTCTTGGAAATGGGCTCAGGGCGTGGCGGGGGGGGGCGGGCAAGACTGAAATTAGAAAGCTGTTGGAATGGGGAGAGGAAGGTAAAAGTACAGCAAAGTCCCAGAGGTCCCCTACTCCAGGAGTTTCCCTGAAGGCTCCACACGCAAGCACACCTCCCTCTATGGCTTCTGAGAAGAGAAGGTGGGGGTGAGGCAGGGAGTCAGGAAGTGAGGCGGGAAGGACACAGTTTAGTCTGGGTAAGGCTTCCAACGACCTGGTCTCTGGGAAAGTTCCTGAGGAAGGGGAGTCAGCACCTGGGGGCAGGCCCCCCATTTCTGTGCTGCTGCCAACAAAGCTCAGACCTCATGGTGCAGGGGCAGGGGCAGGGGCAGGGCCAGGGCTGTGGACAGACCGGCCCCTCTCAGCATTCTCCTCCTCCTCTCACCTCAGGCCTGGCCCACCTGGCCCGGGAAGATGCTGGGAGGGGCTGAGAAAGACTTATTCCCCATGCTGTGGCTGCTCCAGGTCCTGAGGCCCCAGCAGAGACTCCATCTTGAGCTTGAAGATGGCCATCTCACACCTGCAACCCTGAGGCCTCCTCCAGGGTCTGGGGTGCTCCAGGTTCTCGGCCAGAGCAGCCAGTTTCCTGTTTAGCAATCAGCTCTCCTCACACAAGGCAGAGGTCCCTCGAGGGAGTGGTTTCCCTGAGAAAAGCCCGGGACAGGTGAAAAGCTTCAGGCCTTGGCCTCCCTGCGGCTTCTTTGTCTCTGGAAGGCAACTGAGAGGCCCTGGGATCCCCCTTGTGTGACTGGGACCAGAAGCTAAGGGAGGTGTGGGCATGAGGAGGCCTGGAAGGCACACAGGAGGCCAATGCCCTCAGGTTAGATAGAGTCAGGCCCCTTTAGCTGAGCACCAGCTAAAAGAAGCCTTAGAAAGCTCTTGTGGCTCCTGCCCCAGGCTCGGCGGCCTCGGGCCTGTGACCTGCTGGGAGCTGACAAAAGGGCCCTGGTTCTGCTCACACTGCTGTTTCTCGTTCTCTGGGAACTTCCTCCTTCTTCCTCTTCCTCTTGCAGAAGCTGTGGAGGCCACAGAAGCAGGCGAAAGTGAACTGGGGCATGCCCTGGGCCAGGCTGGGCAGTGCTCACCAGAGATCTGTGGAGAAGGGGAGGGGAGGCAGAGGGGCAGGAGAAAGGCAGGAAGAGAGAAGCAAGCCGGGGTTAACGTTCCCAGAATCCTCTGGGCTCCCGGAGGCGGTGCAGGCCCTGCCGGCTGCCTCACACGGGCTCAGGGAGCCACACCACTCAACGACTGCAACCTCCCTTTCCTGACCTGTGAGGAGCCGGTGTCATCTCAGAGAAAAACAGGCCGCTCCCTGCTTCATCCCTCAGCCTGGGCCTCACCTCATCCCACACCTGCTGTTGGGAACAGGAAGCTGGTTTGTGTCCTGACTTGTGCCACCTCACACAGGTTCCGGGCAGGAGTTCCATGGACTCCATCAGGTCTCATCCGACAATCCAGAGGCGGGATCTTGTGGAGCCTGGAAAAACTCCTTCCTCCAGCAGTCTCACTGTCACAGACCTCGCCCTTCCTTAGCTGCCCCAGGCTGTCTGGTCTGATAACCCTGAGGGGAACCTACAGGGAACAGAGTCAGTCCGAATCCTCGTAACACAGAGCAAAGAGAGTTCTTTTAGCCAACAGGCTATTTTATCCCTTTCTCCATGTGCAGCCCCCTGGCCTTACCCACCTACACATCCCTCAGGTCACCTCTCTGCCCCTGAGCCTGCAGCAGAGGAGCCTGAGAATCAGCTCAGGCAAGGAGGCCAGGAGCTGAGGGAGGCGTCCTGGGCCTGGTGGGAGGAAGAACTTGGGGAGCAAGGAGTTGAGCAAAGGCCCGAGGGAAAGAGGCAGGCCCTGCTATGGCAGAAGCTGCAGGGATATCCAAAGCACACCCACAAAGCGGCTCCCTGCACTGTCTCTGAGGAGCCTGGCCAGCCTGCCACCGGGACGAACTCCCTTCCTGCTTCTCCAGGTGGCGCTGAGGCCTTCACCAAGCATGGTGCCCACTGTGGAGCTGGGTCCTGTCAGGATCTCCCCTCCCTCTTTCCTCCCCCTCTCAGCATCCTGGTAACACATCTAATAGCTGTAATTAATAGGTGCAATGCATTTCCAATGGCCAGCTGGGTGGCAGGAGGCCCAGCTTGAGTCAGCATGGGTAGGTAGGCTGTTATTTAATAACCTGCTTTCCAGCACCATTTACACACCCACTCTGGCGGAGTATATATAGTGAGCAAAGAGCAACCTCCAGGATATATATAGTCAGAGCCAAGACACAACTACTATATTTCTAGATCCATCTACTGCAGCTATCTCTGGGTCCCTCGCATGGCAAACCTAGAGAGAGACAGGGAACCAAGCTGAGGCTTAGGTAGCCTGCCTTCAGTTCCTGAAGCTGTGGGCAAACGCTGTATCTCTCTGGGCCCTCGAGTCCTCATTTCAGTGTACCGGAAGTTAATCGAGGTGTAACATGTAGACCCCAAACCTAAGGGACCAGAAGGGCACTAGGACTCTTCACCTGGTCAGGAAAGCTGGAAGGAGAACAGGTGGGTGCCTGGGTACAAGTGACTGAAATGCACACACTTCTGTACTGGGGATACATGTCAAGGGCACTAGCAATACAACATTCTCAGGATCACAGAAAAAAAATCTTTGGAGAGAAATCAATAGGTACAACGAAGTTAATTTGGGGAAGGGACTCACAACTAAAGCCAGCCAAGTAGCTTTGGCCACCCCAGCCCCACCCAGGTGGAGAAGCAGCTCAGGGTCTGATCCCAGGATGGGAAGATCCTCCCCATCCCCATGCCTGTTCTTTCTTCAAAACAAAATGTACATTCTCCAGTGATTGTTTCTCTTCGGGGTCCTTTGGGGAAGATGAAAATCTAAGTTTTTGTGCTCAGCCCACCACTGCAGAGAAGGTTGGGGTAGGGGAGGAGGAACCATATCTACACAGCAGAGTTGAGCAAGCCCATCAGGGCTGGGCTGGGGGCTGAGGCTTGGCTGCCTCAGCCAGATTCCTGGTCCTGGTTATTCCTTCCCCCAACTCCAAGCCCTCCCTGGTCCGTGGGATGGAGGTTACAGGGCTAGCTCCGGAAATGGGGGACACATGGAGCAGAGAATCCCATCCCATGTCAGCATCCCTGGCTGCTGCAGGCCTGCATTCCTCCTCCATTGGAGCCCTCACCAACAGGGATCTGGGGAGTTGCTTTGCCAGGGCTGTAAACTGGGCAAGAGCCCTGACTGCTCTCTTCCTGGTCCTTATCGTCACACTTAGCAGTGGCTCCAGCACCAGCTGGAGACCCCCAAAACACTCCCCGCTCTGATCCCTGGGCAAACTGCCTGCTCCCTGCCCCACCCACTGATGGCTCAGCTCACTGCAGGCTCTGGCCATGGCTCCTCCCCAGCTAGGGTCCAAGATGGTCTGAGGTCAGAGATGCTCCTTGGTCCAGCCAACTTCGCAGGAGCTGAGAAGAGACGCCAGGACCCAGGGCACCCATGCTCCCACTCCCAGTGCATCCCTTCCCGGGGCCCTCACCCCACATCTCTCTGCCTCACACCCTCCAGGGACCCTCTGACCACAGCACGAGGCAAAGGAGGGGCCAGAGGCTGGGGCCAGGCTGCACATGGAGGAAATGCAAAGACAAGACTTGGGCAGAGCCTGGACCTCATGCTCCTCAGTACCTCAGATTGCGACAATGCCCTCCATCCAAGTGGGCGGTAGTGAAGGTGGAAGGGTGGGAGACATTCACAAGTGTTGGGACTTGCCAGGAACTCTGACGAGCGAGATGGAAAGTGTCCCTCCCACCACCCCCCATCCCCTCATCTCCAGGCAGGAGCAGAGGTGCTTCCAGCAAGACGCCCCCCCACCTCCAGGCCCCCAACCCCAGGTAAAGGGCAGGAGAGCCGAGACCCAGTGAGAGGGGCGCGCCCAGAACAATGCCGAGCCCTCTGCCCCCTCCCCTGCGTCCTTAGCACCGCGCCTCAGTAATTAAAATATGAATTCACCTTCCCTCCCTGAGCCATTCATCACTGCAAAGGGGAGCAGCTGCAGCTTAGGAGACCGGATTTGGGGGATTAGCTCGGGCGGTGGAGCAGACACACCAGGAAAAAGAATGAAAAGACGGGGGTGAATTGGGTTTTCTCTCCTCATCTCCTCCCTCTCCCTCTCCTGCATCCCCAACCTCACACCCCACCCCTTCCCTCAAAGCCTGGCCTCAGCAGGTTTCTGGGAACTGTAGTCTACACGGAGGTGTTGATAAACAGGCAGGCCAGGGGCGGGTGGTGGTACAAACTACAGATCCCAGGACTTCTTCCCGGAGTTGGCAGCATCCTGCCTGGGCACAGGCCTCCAGTCTGGGAGAAGCCTGTGTTCTCCTTGGAAGTTAACTCCTTCTCGGCCTGCAGGAAACTCAGTTCCCTGCCATGCACTGGGAGCCAAGCCCTCTGGGGCCTCCATGGGCTTCAAGGGCACAGTCCCTGGCTCACCAAAGCCAGCCCCCCTTGTTTCTCTTCTAGAGAAATGGGGATAAGGGGGAAAGAGGCAGGGGGGGGGGGAACAAGCACTCCCCATCCAAGACTACAGGGAACATTTATCAATGGTTCTGAGGTACTTGGGGTACATAGCTGGAGTGGGGTGGGGTGAGAACAGCAGTAGTCTTCAAATGTCCTGTGCCCTCATCCAGGGTTTGGCTGGCTGAGGCTGGCCCACCGTCAGAGTCGCTGACTAAGCATGACAGGAAGAGGGAGGGATCACCATGGGACAGGCAGCAGCACCTTAGGAACCTGGTGGCTCCAATTCCCAGGCCCAGAGGGACCCCCAGAGGTCCAACTTTAGTGTCATCTCCTTTGAAGATGAGACTGCTTCCAAGTCTTTGCATTTAGAAAGGAGTAGGGCTTAGCAGTCAAATTCATTTCCACTTAAAATGGGACAAATACCACCACCTGAATCTCGGTGTGGTTAACCGGGCCCACTCTCCCCAGGGAGGCCTTATGCTGGGTTTCTCTGAGCACTGTAAGACACTCAGATTGCCCAGAATATTTTCGGTTTCAGCTGTCTGCAGGCAGGGGATGGGACAGACACAGCCCTCTGATCAGGGAGAGAGGGCAGGAGGCTAGCTTGCCTATTCGGGGCAGTTTGACAATTACGTGAAATACATAATTGCGTACCTTCGCCAGGCCTGGACCACCGGTGGTGACCAAGAATGGAAAAGAAGCTCAACTTTGGAGCCCCAGAAGCACCCCAGGCCTAGCCCCACAGAGAGGGGACTCTCAGGTGAGCCGCTCCGTGCTAGGGTTGCTGTGTCTGTTCAGGACAACTCTCCTCTCTTACCCCACATCCCTTTTCTCCCAACTCACCATTCCTTCCACTGACCTTGACTTGGCAATCCCTGGGTGCCTCGCTTTGCTGGGGCATTACAGAGGTACACCTTAGGGACAGATCACCTGACTCCTTCCGCAGTGCTGGCCCCTTCCTGGGTAGGAAGGGAGTACTGCTCCAAGTCAACTTTCCTGTTTGGAGATGGGGCCCTAAAGGAAGCAAATCAGGAGGTGGCCTTTGGAGCCTGGGGCAGCAGGTGCCAACTATCTCCCATTTCGGGTGAGAAAACCAAGAGGCAAGCAGGAAACCTTGGCAAATTCTCCTCTCTGTTCCTGCCACCATCTAAGCCAGGCAGGAGAGGAAGCAGCCAGGATTGGCCTCAGCAAAAACCCAGCTGGCTCAGGCTTTCTCCTTGCTTCTCCTATTGTTTTGATTTTCCCCCTCTGCTTCTGCTGGAAAAGGAAAATCAGTGATAGACAGAGGGTGTCTGGAGTTGGGCCATGGGGCCAGTTCATGGACCTGCATCCCACAGGGGCCTCTGCAGGCAGCCCGGGTGTGAGCAAGCACCGCCCAGGTCCGAGCACTTTGCCATGCCCCGGATGTTCCCAGCATCCAGCAGTGTGGTAAGCGCGTGGTTTTGGCATGGGACAATCTAAGTTCAAATCCCAGCTCTGCCCTTACTTGGCCACTTCCTCAGCTCCCCTGTGCCTCCAAATCTGCATAAATAAAATGGACCAATAATAGAACTGTCTGAGGGATTAAATGAGTCGGGACAGGTAAGATGGTTCGAATCATGGTACCTTGTAGGCACCTGGTAAATGTTGATTGGGAAAATTAACGCCTCCAAGACATTATAAGTAACTTGACTTCTGATTCTCAACACCATATACTGTTCAGCGGCCTGTCTTAGCCAGGGGGCTGGGGAAGGGATGGGGGTGATTCCCCCGCCACTCGAGCCAGACTGCTTGCTTTATTTCCATCTGTTGGAGTCTCCCAGGATGGCAGGAATGAAGTCAGGCAGATTTAAACGAGGTGGGAGTAGAAATAGGATTGGAAAGGGAGCCAGGCAGGCTGAGCAACAGGCCTGAGAGGAGCAGGGCAGGCAGGTACCATTCACACACCCTACTGGGGGAGAGGACAGGGAGGAGAAGCTAGGGACCCTAGGCTCTGACCTGGGAGGAGAGGAGACACTGCTTTGCTTCATTCACTCCTGACCCCCTCCAACTGGCTTCTGTTTCAGCCACTAAGGTCTCTTCACCCCGAAGGCTGAGGATTCTGAGCTGATCAAGAGAAGGGAGAAATGAGGCCAGAAAGCAGAGGCAGTCACTGGAGGCACTAAGCAAAAGCCCAGGTCTTCGCAGCTTCATGCCCCTAACTCCAGCCTTCAGATCTTGACCTTGATGTGTGCAGGCCTCTTAAACGTGGCAAGGGGGAGCCAAGGCCTCAGCAAACCCTGAATGTCTCCTTCCTTAGGAATCACCAGCCCAGACTCCTCATTTCAGAGTAAAGGGCCAGGTTCCGAAAGGGGAAGTGATGTGGTCAAGGTCACGTGGCTGCGCCCCAGACCCAGCACTGCCAGATCCCCTGCCGAGCCCTCCTCCGGCAGACCTCCTGCTCCTGCGCCTCGGTGGCTGGTCCTGTGGAAGGTGCAGCTGTGCAGGAGCTTGCCCCTCACTGTAGCCCATGGCTTTTAGCCCTACATGAGTTTGGAACAGCAATCACATAGGAATGAAAAGCCATAGGTCACAGCAGAGCTGAGGGGTCCGGTGGCAGGAATCTCAAAAGGAAGCAGGAAGCTGGGGGCACTGGGAGCCTCATCAACCTCCTTCACAGGCATCCTCGCCCCGGACCCACCCACACTGCCTCCCTCGAAGCCCTGGGGCTCCCAGGTTACGCTCCCCACCCCCCCACCTGCCTGGCCCCGACAACACTAAAGCCATCCCGTAAGGAGTTTCCAGTTCTTGCCCTACAAAGGCCCCACACAATGGTGCTCTCTCCGTGTGAGGAGGGGTGGCTTCCTGGCCATAAAGGACCTCCTCTGCATTTCCTTAATTAGCTTCCAGCCCCCTCCCAGTGTCCCTAACTACCCCAGCCCCAGCGAATAAGGTCGGATCTTTTCAAGGCTGCTGCAAACAGCCTGAGAGAGGCCCCAGAGTAGACTCTTCTTTATGAGCCTTAACCCCTTCCCGTCCAGCACAGGAAGCAGAGGGGCAAAGGAGGGTCTGGGCACAGGAATGCAGAGACAAGGGCCTCCTTCCCTCTCCAGAAGGTCTCCTCTCCAGATGCAGCTAGAGGCAGGAAAAGGGCCGGAGCCGAAATTCCCACATCCTGAGATTTGGGAGGGGGGCTCTACTCGACGCCCCTTTAGCTGGCAGGGATACAGAAGTTGGTACAGGCAGCTCCGGGTCTAGGGTGAAGAGCTGAGTTGGAGGGGATCGAGGTCTCGGGACCCTAGAAAAGATATGTTTTAAATACAAGTTTTGTGTCCCCTCCCCTCTCTCACACTGGGTCAGCTAACGGGCATCCTGTGGCCCTTGGAAGAGGGGCGCCTCACATGGGCTTCTGCTCACCCAGAGGGAGGAAAGCCCCAGGGGACTCAGACTTCCAGGCACAGCCTGGGCCGCTCCCAGGGAACCCCAACCCTAAACCCAACCGGAAAGTGAGAGGCCTGAGGCCCAGAGCAGAACCTGTGTCTGCCTGTGGCCACCACCTCCGCCCCCTGCCTTACCCCGTCTGGGGCAGGCTCCCTGGGCATCTGCAGGACGCTGGCTGGCACAACCCCCTTTCCACTGGACCTCCTGTGCTCCCCAACAACAGCACACGCAGACACACACCCCAGACTTCTCCAAGTGCGACCCGCCAGCTTCCCCCCTGAACTCTGGGCTCCCACAGAGCTGCCTCGGGCCTCCTTTCCGCCCTCTCTCATGGTTTCCCTCCTGAAATCCCAGGTGGGCTCCAAGCAGAACACCCTCAGTCCCCTCCCCAGGCGCCCCGGACAGGGCTGGGACCACGGGGGCTGCTCACCTGCGGACCTAGCGTGAGGCCCCCTGTCCTCGAAGTCGCCCTCACAGTGGCCGCAGAGCCACTTCCTGCCTGCCGGGCGGCCACTCACTCCTCCAGGCACCCCGAAGCTCCACGCCCCGGCGAGGGCAGGCCGCCTCCCTCCTCCGCCCCCCGCTGGCCGCCGGGCTGTGCCCAACTCAACTTGACTCGCGGGTGACCCGCCCCTCCCCCGCCAGCCGAGCCGGGGGCGGGGCGGTCAGGTATCCCTTCAGCCCTGACTCGGGCGGGTAACAAAGGTCTCATTGAGCCTCCGGCTGTCTGCTCGGTGAAGCACAAGCCTCTTGTATCTACTCGCTTTTGATCTCGCTCCCTCTGAACCGGCCGTGTATTACTCACGTCCCCCTGCCGGGCTATTGGTGTGGAGGGGCTGTCCGGTCCCTTCCCAGCCGCCCCATCTCCTTTCTCTCTCCCCTTCCCCTGCCGCTCCCCTCCTGCTTTCTTATGGTTTAATTTTTGGCAGGAAACCTGAGGCAGCTCCCTGCAAGCCCGGTCTCCCGCCAGACCCCCCACCCTCGACCCCACCCCCCACCCCCAGAGCCCGGTTCCTCTCCTCTTCCCCTCCTGCAGACCCAAGTCCCTCCTTCCCTCCACTCCCTGCCCTGAGGACACGGTCGGCACCGGTCGGTCCTGTTTCCTTCCTCGGACCCGCTGAAGTCTGCCCCTCCACCCACCCTCACCTCGACCTTCTCTGTAGACTCCTGGCCCTGCTAGTCCTGGCTTCCGGTCCCAGGTGCACAAAAGGCCTTTGCCAGCCTGCTGGACCCAGCCCTCCTGACAAGCCCCAGGTAGGCCCTAGAAAGGACAGTCTCTCCCCAAGGTGTTTCTGGGCCAGAGGTCTAGAGGGCCCGAAGTCGAGGAGGAAGGGGAGCAAGGGGGATGCTTCACCTCCCCCCATCTCCAGGGGAAATACCCACCACTCTGTGAGAACCACGGCTCACCCTTCTCACACTGGAGCCATCCCAGGACTCCTGTCTCCTCCGTGGCCACCCCGGACCTTCTGCAGCACTGGTCCTGGTGGGAGCTGAGGCCCAAGGAGCCTGAGCAGCATCTGTATGCAGAGGCCACTTCACAGGGCTCTGGGAGTTCTCTCTGCCTTTCCCTGTCCCTGACCCCCAGAGTCCGGAGCCCGAAGCTCTCCCCAGAAATGCCAACAGGTGTAAGACTTCCCATGACTCTGCAGAGCCCTGCTCACCCCACCCCACGCCTCCCACCTGCAGCCATGGGCTTTCCACCCCTCCCTGGCCCTCAGGTACTCCATTCAGCTGAGCCCAGCATTTGGGAAAGTTCTCCTGCCCCGACAGAGGCCCCATTCTTCCTGCCGCAGGCTCTCATTGTCACTCATGACTCCACACATTCTTGGGCATCTGTGAGAACCACAGACTGCCACCACCCCAGCCCCGCCCCACCCCGCCCTGCCCGAGCCCTGGGCCCTGGGCCCTGGGCCTGCGGCAGGAGCTGGGGGAGGCTGGGCTGGGGGCAACCAGGAGGCAGTAAAAGGAGGCGGGGTACAAAACAGAGGCAGGGGGATGGAACTAAGAGAGACAAAAGTGTTGCTGAGGAAACTGTGGAAGACGAGGAAGGACACATGGAAACAGAGAAATTGTACAGAGAAAAAGGAAGGGAGTAGAAGAAAGGAGCTTATGTTGAGTGGAAATGGTATCGTGCAAGTACTGGATGTCCATTAATTATAATCACTTAGTAAAGCTAACATTACTGTTATTCCCACTTGGTGGATGAAAAAAATAAGGCTACAGAGGCTCTGACTCGCTTGGGTGGGCACTTTTGCTCTTAGAAAAGAAGGCGAGAGAAGCCTGAGAGAGACAGAAAGAAGAGAGCCTGAAAAGGCACAATGCTGGCCTGGAAGGCGGACGGCTGAGGTGGGACACAGGCAGAAAGGAGGGGAGGAAACAGGGCAGCAGGGGGAGCCTGAGGGGAGCCAGAAGGGGGACTAAGTGGGAGGGTGGCTTCTAGCTGGCAGTAGAGCAGACTCTGTGGGGTACAAGTTCCTTACTCCTAGCACAGGCTGGGGAGCCCAGGAAACTGAAGCCCATTTCAGTGCAGAAACACTGACCTTTCAGGGAGCCCAAGGGTGTGCAGCCACCCTAAATAAACCAGGGTCCACAAGTGGGCCCTGAGGTTGGCTATGCATCCAGGGAGAGTAAGCCAGAGGGAGCCACCTTTGTGGGGACAAGAATGCGGATGGGGGGCCGGCGGGAGGAAGAGGCCACAGAGGGCAGGGCCAGGGGCTGGGCATGTGGGCTCCGCCCAAGAAAGGATGGAGAAGAGCAGAGCAGGCCAGACACAGGAGGCGCTAATAAACGGGATGCTGGCAGAAGGAAGCCTTGTACCGTTGTGTCTAGATCGCGAAGTCTTTAAAGACCACCAAGGAGCCAATTTTGATGTAAACGCACGAGGGTCGTTTATTTAAGCTCGAGCAGGGACTCTGAACAGTCACCAACGCAGCGGGTCAAGATTGAGAGCCCCAAATTTTAAATTGGCGGGGTTTTTATAGAGGTTATAGCAAGGTTTGGAGATTTTTTATTTAGCAGCTATATGATTGGTTGATAATTAGCAGGCACGAAGTGTATATTTTTGATTGGCTAGGTGTATCGGGGGTTGAGGGGTGGCTATATGTAGGTTTTATGAGGGGAAAAGAGGGACAAAGGTTAGTGGCCGACTGTCACGTATTGATGGTCAGCAGACACACTGACTAATAGTCACGACCATTATGTATTGACAGTCAGCACATCTATAGATTGTTTTATGGATAGTGGGCCCAGAACATTTATTTTTTGGGCAAACAGATGGCTGAGTAATTAACTCAGGAACTTTGTTTCGTTATAGATTATATCTTTTGTCTCAAAGCAAATACATTTTAATTATTAATTTGTGAAAGACTAGGGGACTAGTAGATTTTAACAAAATGGAGTCGTTTTGGTCTTACAGAACCTGGACCTTACATCCAACAGTCCTAAGGTCCCATCAAGACTCATGACTCTACTCTGGAACTGACATCTCCTAGAGCTTTTCGCAGACTGACTTCTGTACCTTTCAGGGGAACTTGGGAGTCCAGCAGATTTGCCTCCATCCATGGTGGCAGGGCTATTTGGGGACCTTGGGAGATGCTGAATAGGAGGCACTTCCTCTCACCACTCCTCATACTCCAACCCAGGGGATACTAAGTTGGAAGCATATCGCAGTATTTATTCTAAGGATGTTGGTTGAATGACATAGGCTCACATTTGTCGAAGATATGAATGAATGAACAAATGGCTGATGCAGCTTGAAAACAAGGGAGAGAGAGATCCAGGCACTTCTGTATTGGGGCTGGGTGTGTGCTTGGAGCTCCCTGTCAGGGAGCTGTCAGGGAGGAGGGTCCCTGAGCTGGAACAGGCTGTGGGATGGGGTGGGACGCACAGCTTGGCAATCCGACCCCACCCACCATGGTGGGGAGCACTGCCAAAAGTTCAAAGGAGTCTCAAGCAGACTCCAATTTGGAGCTGTGTTTGGGATGAGTCCATGGGTTCAGTCACCGGCCCTGGTCTGACGGAGAGGACTAGTTCTGGAGAGACATGGCAATGTCCCATACAGGGTCCCACAG